TAATTGTCCTTAAACTTATCTTATTCCTGACTTTGAATTATAGAAATAATTAATCTCTACTATTGAATGGCATTATTCAGATGACATTGACCCAAATCCCCTTAGATTACAAACAAACCATAACCCATATATTTACATATCAATTCAAAAAAGATCTTTTAATTTAGTAATTTTTAACATTCCAACTGTGTTGGTAATGTAAGGTGTCAGAACTACTGCTGACTTATTCTGGAAAACCAATATTAATATCACTTACAATGGTGTATAGGAATACTTGAATTGCTTGGCAATTGAGACCAAGCTTAAAGGGTTAAATACTAATATTCGACCTGAATAAATCCTGTTTGAAACCAGAATATTGTGTCCTTCAAATGAGGAAGGTATTTATTTAATCATTGATAAGTATTTCCTTGTGTGTCAACGATTTAGTGTATTTATATTTTAAATTTCATTCACATTTACCAGTATATCATGAAGAATATTGAAAACAGAGATAATGTTGGAAATGGCAGTTATATTTGCATGAACTTTGTGGACCATATTGATTTAAAGGGCTGCTAGAATGTCATGGTTTTTCCCCATTATCTGTCTTGCATGTTTCTTTAGCAAAATACAGGCCACACTAATCCTTATATATTTTGACTATCTCATTGAAATAAGGAAGCCTATTGATTTTCAACATTTTTTGACAAGCTTTATGCCCTTTTATAGGCTGCATTTATGAACTTATTTTTCTGAAATTTATGTTGAAAGGAAGAACCCTGTTGATTTTCAGTTATTTTCAATAATAGCTGCCAGAGTAATTTCATTTTGTTACAAAATCTTGATAGAACTGTTAGCTTCAATTATAGTCTGTTCTTTTGAAAAATTTTCAGTTACCTTCTGGTGAGTGTATGTTTTGTTGCCTGGCAATCTATATTTGAATCGGGTACTGAGCAACATTTAGCCCCTTAGAATTACATTGTTGTCAACACTGAGTGTTTACGTAAGATTAATCTATAGCTGCTCAATGTTTCAGTTTAGAATACACTTTGTGACCAATTACATAGCTGCGGTTTTATCTTTCAAATTTCTATTTGCCTATATTAACTGTGGGCGTACACATGAATTATTGTCAATCTCCTGTCTTTCAAAGAAAATTTCAGAAATATTCTCATTTTCTACTGTAACCTTTTATAGAATATTCATTGAGTTTGATAGGGAAATTAAATCAATATTAAATATTATTGAACAGTTAATTATGGAATGAAATAGAATGGTGTTAATGTCACACTAAAACAATTTTGTGATTAATTAAGACTTAAGAAATGGTAATTTTTCTTTTCTATGACTTTTCTGTCTGCATTTTCTTGAAAATGCCAACTCATAAGGAATCTTGCTGTGACAGGTCACAATTAATAATTCATTACACTACAATATGTAATACTACCCTGCCAAATGACTATTATTACTATTATTAATATGCTGAAAAAATTGTTTACTCAGTGGATTAGACAATGCAGTAGTTATTATTAGCAATTTCTATTTGAAACATTTGATAGTGTCCGATAAAAACTGAAAAATTCATTAGATGATTTAAATATACATGACACACAGATGACATCAGCAGGGCATGTCTGAACTGTAGATGTCTAAGGTAATACACATTTCGAAATCAAATGTAGAACGGTATTACTTTGACTCTGCAATGAAGTTAACTTAAACGCTTCTACAAACATGTCAAATTTGGACCTTTTTTAACCAGGCTTTTTGTGCAATTTGAATGACTAGGCACACTTGCAATTTGCCATCCCTGTAAAATAAGAAGTAGTCTTAAAAAAATCCCAAGGGTTCTTCTGAGTGATTCAAACCTGGAACTTAATAAAACTACCATGGCTCCAGATTTATATTAATGAAATCACAGCACATGGTATATTGTTTCCATTATATATGCATAAATATGATGTAGAAATTTATAATCTAATTCATAAAATTTGAATTAATAATAATTATTGTAAGCCTGACTCATAATTCTACTATGTTAATTACCTATATTATGGTTAATCAAGTTAGTTTTTAATTATCACCATACTCTGATAACCTCAGGAACACCTTGAGTAGGGGGTGGCAGTAAGAGTTTCTTTGCTTTGACGTTTATATCTCTACATAGTGCCAAAACTTTATAATGGAGGCTCCTGTTTTACATTGGTTCAGAAAACTTTTACACCTGTTTACCATAATTTAAACCTTTTTGAAATCTCACTTTGCTCTTGTTGTGTCTTGTCTATTATTCCCACCTTATTTTCCATAATCTTATTTATTTATATATATTTTTGTTCAATCGATAAAACCATTTAGCCGAGACACGGAATAAGACATTTGTTGGTATAAATGGGTTGTAAGATGGGATTAGTAGGAAGTTCTAAGAACAGTACTACTAATTGATTACCTGAGTGTTTATTAAATTGGTGCAGAAATGTGTGTTAAAATTCAGTGAAGTATCGAACCAGTGTATAGTAATAGCTTTAATAGAACGTATGAATATTGAATGATCTATTAGTTTTCTACCATTTTTTTTTTCAGTAGACCTAACTACTTAATTTATATCCTAAGCTATATTATTCCCACCTTAAGCATTAGTTGTTTTATTCTTTTTGTATATTTTGTTTGTTTTTGGTTCATTGATTTATTGAAGTGCATGATAGTCAGCTTTCAATACAATAGATTACTTTAAGGTTGCCATCGACTTATGACTTGTGTAGATTGTAGTGCGAACAGCTAGCTTCACAACAAGTAAAAGTAACAGTTTATGTAACAAACTATATTTACCCTCGACAATAACATTCCATGGTATTGATGTTCATATAAAATAATTGACGTTTATTATATGACTGGTTCTTTACGTTATGAAAGATTGAATGCAACATTGATTATATAAAGGTTTTTACATACATTAAATTTTTGCACATGAAAATTTAATTTTCTCCTATATTCATGATTATTGAATAAACAGTGAATTGTGTGAAAGGGATGAAACTTGGTTTATGGCTCCATTGCATTAATACATTGACTAACTTGTTTGATCTGATCATTTTCTGCTCAGGTTAAGCAATGTGTTAGGTAATTTGATTGTTTGATGCTTTATAAAACGAGCGGGTTTGGATGGTCTAATGAGGGTCATCTATTTATTTTGGGATTGAGGTGGGGGGACATATCAGCCACATTTTATCTCTTTGGGGTGTAAATAGGGACTTGCAATACAGTAAGAATTTAATGGAAATGTGGTCGTATATTGTCTCCCTCGGTCGAATGATGAACGGTATCATCCGATCTGTATGGAATTTATATGCATCATTTGAATTAGTGACACAAAGAAGCCTGTTGATTTTCAGCAATTTCCAATAATTACTTCTCCAGTTATGGGCTTTATTTTACTTTGTTGAATAATGTAAACGCTTGAAGGACAAGTCATCGTCTGATCTGTGTGAAATTTATATGCATAAATGGGTGTTTATTAGGTCAATGTCTTGATGGAGTTCGAAGATGAGCATTTTCTGCTTAGGGTAAGCAGAGATAAGCAATTTGATTGGTTGATGCTTTGGGACACAATAATTTTAGTTCTGATTAAGTGAGAGTGATGAAACATGGTGTATAGTTTAATTATATCAATACCTTGACTACGTTCGATAATGAGCATTTTCTGCTTAGGGTAAGCAGAGAGATAAGCAATTTGATTGGCAGAGACTTTGGAACACAATAACTCTCCTTCTAATTGAGCTATAAAGTTCAAACTTGGTGTAGGTGTTTATTAGGTCAATGCCTAGATTAAGGTTAAAGATGAGAATTTTCTGCTTAGGGGATGCAGAGATAAGCAATTTGATTGGTTGATGCTTTGGGACACGATAGCATTAGTTCTAATTAAGTGAGAGTGAGGACACTTGGTGTATAGTTTTATCACATCAATACCTTGACTAAGATCGATAGTGAGCATTTTCTGCTCAGGGTAAGCAGAGCGATAAGCAATTTGATTGGTTGACACTTACGAACACAATAACTCTCCTCCTTATTGAGGTAGAATGTTCAAACTTGGTGTAGGCGTTCATTAGGTGAATGTCTTGATGGACTTCAATGATAAACATGTCTGCTTGCGGTAAGCAGAGATAAGAAATCTGATTGGTTGATGCTTTGGGGCATGATAACTTTGGTTTTGATTGAGTGAGAGAGATGAAACTTTAAGTATAGATTCATTATATCATTACCTTGTTTAAGTTCGATGATCAGAATTTTCTGCTTAGACTAAGGAGCGATAAGCAATTTGATTGGTCAAGACTTTGGAACATAATTGGGGTAGAATGATTAAACTTGATGTAGATGCTCATTAGGTGAATGTATTGACTGAGTTCAACGATTAACATTTCGAGCTAAAGCAGAGCTAAGAAATTTCATTGGTCGATGCTTTGGGACAAGATAACTTTGATTCTATCTGATAGAGAGTGATGAAACTTAGTGTATAGTTGATTGCTTGATACTTTAAGAAAAAATAAATGTGCAATTAATTAATATGTGTCATCTATTTATTTTGGGATTTCGGCGTGGTACATCATGCAGCCTCGCTGTCGGCTTGTTAAAAGTTTATATAAATGTAATATCGGAATACCAAACAAACTGTCCTAGCATGGTAATGTGAAAACCTTTATTTATCACTGTAAAAGATGGATGGTTAAACATGCTTTGTTTTTATCAGACATAGTAATACAAACTGCTCATTTAGAATTTGATTTACAGAAAATAAGGTAATTTTGACCCCTCACTAATTTTTCCATATTTCTCCCTTCTCAACTCAGTGACAGTAACGGATAAGCGAAAAGTTACTGCAGATCATTGTGAATATCAAGCATACAGTCACTGTAAGAATTATGGCATATTGTATATTGTCACAATTATCTCTACCTTAGTTTGATGCAAATTTTAGCATGTATTTATCTTTTTAAAAATTAATTTTTTGTTAATTTGTTTTACAGTGGAAGCACTTCATCTTGCACATCTGATGTCATCCCATGGTTACTTCTTTCCTATAGATGATCATGTACTAAGTGTAAAAAATGACAACACATATTACAGGTTTCAGGTGAGTTTTATGTATGCGTGTAGCCTGTGGCTGGAAATAACTTAATTTCAAAAGAAGAACAGTATTGAAAATTATAACAACCATGATGGTAATGCTATATATATATATATATAGAAATGGAGAAAACTTGTCAAATAACATTTTCTGTTAAATTTGATCAGATTCATTGCAAATTTTCTCTTTAGCTTTTATTTGTCCGATATTGATAAACAAAATAATTTTATCTGTGACAATATATTTCAAAAATAAAAATAAATTTAATGTAATAAACAGTAGGGCTTTAACTAACTTAGAAATTCAATTTGAATCGTACAGGTATCAAATCGCCTGTCTGACCCTCCAAGTCCAGTGTAGGTTAGTCACAATATTATATGTCAAATCATTCAGAAATAAATTGCATTAAAAGCTAGCTTTTTTCATCAACAGAAATAACACAACAAGTTATCATAAATCTGTTTTCATAATTCCATTCGGATATGTCTTTGATTTCCCAACAGATAAAGTAAAGGAAAAAATTATGCTATTAAAAGAAAGCGTTTAAATTAAATATCTGTGTTTGAAAGTTATAAATAGAGAAATATTATCTTTCAATTATAGTCACAATTCTCTTGATAAACTTTTTTTAATCCCCATACGACAGCCTTCTTTTACAAAACTGGCTAATTAAAGCTGCAAAAGTATTGCCAGTTTACAGCAAAAAAAATTGTTGAATTGTCATAATGAGATAAAGTCTACCGCCAATATATGCCTCTTCTTCATTTAGTTTGAAGGTTTTAGGAGTTCAATTTTTAAACTTGTGACAGATTTTACTGGACACTATTTAATAGACTCCTGTCACAGGATTTGAGCTGAAAACTGTCATTTTCACTTTACAAGTTGACAAAAATTTCCTGTACATTCTTGAAGATTTTAATCAATATGCTTCCTTAAATGAATATGCCCAGAAAACTCAACATCCGCACGAAAAGCTTAAAAAAGAAGATTTTAAGATTGAGTCATAATGTGCATTAACAGCTGAACAAGTCATGTCTGTCTTCAACCATATTGAATTCTTGTCTAATTCTTAAAAAATGTATGCCATTAGTAGTCCTACTCGCTGGCATTTCCGTACCCTTGATAGAGATTGAGATATAAAAGCCAGGATGCACTGTGTTTTAGTTTTTGCCTTGTATATCTATGAATGAAGTCGTGTGGATGCGAGTGAATGTCAAATGAGCAGATATAATGCTTCTATTGGTTGATGAATTACAATATACTGCATGTATTGATTGGTACTACATTCAACCAACTTAGCTGCCTGCATTCATGTTTTGTATAAAGAAATGTCCTTGGCGGGAGTACAAGGTCATTCTGCAGTTATGACTTTGATTCACACTAGACAATAAATCTGTCTCCGTTAGAACTTGCGGCTTAGGTCGATGGCCATAGAGCTGAAAAGAATATTAAGCCAGGTTCTCATGAAAAATAATTAGATCACACATTATATACTGAACTTTGAAATCGAAGCTCATGTCTATGCACTACGAATTATCAATGTTAGACCTGTTGCAATTTCAAAATCAAATTATTTATATGTTATTGCCTAAGGTTGTGTGAGTTATTTTAGGAATTGTAATGGAAAATAGTTCTATTTTGGTATGTGTGTGTATGGAAATTAATTCATCAACAAAGATTGCTATCTTTTCTGTTATCAGTAGAAGACCCTGGTGTATATCTCTGAAAAAAAAAAGACATGAAGTCTACATGGATAGTCCATCTGATAGACACACTAATAAATATTATATACACATGGTTATGTACTTGAACTGTACCGAATCCACCCACACTTAATCTCTTTTTTTAAAGGGATATTTCCTTGCAAAAATCTAATTTGATAGATCTTGATTTTGTTTGCACCATATACAGTTACCAAGTGCAAATTAGACTAGAAAACAAGGTATGGTAGTATGACATTGAGATGTGCACGGCAAAAATGGGTTTGCACTTCAGTTGTGGTAAAACTGACATATACTCCAGAAAGATGTTGTTTCAGCATTTTATGTAGAAAAGGATATGTTTAGAAATTAAACCTAAAAGTCTGTATGTTGTGGTTTCCCCTTCCAGTGGTGCAGTACCTGGCAAGGAACAGCTTTTGATTGTTTGGATGTAACAAAAGATCTGAGGTCCTGTGTACACCTTGAATGTCAGAATTCAGTTGCTGTCTAGGCAAATTTTCCCTCATCGCACACGGCATGGCATATGCCATTCTTCATTAGCCCTGTTAAAGAAGAAAAGCAAAATACCATTTCATTCATTCACTTTTTTATATCCGGATAGTTTTTCAATCCAACCTTACTTTTTGAAAGTTTAGGGTTGAAATTACTAGTGACAGTGCTAAATGATTTTACTGGTAGTTTAAATATATGTTATACTTTCCATTACCTCAAACAGTATGTTTATTGATTTTGTTCTGTCATAGATATTTAGGTACATATATTATTTTTAGTTTAAGTCATTGATGTTCTTTAAAAAACAAACATGTTTTATGTCGACCTAGAATAACAAAATTTTCATATCTAGAGCCACTCACAATCTGACCTCTCACTTTAAACTATTGGTTTAATAAACTGGAACTGGTTTGATATGTGTCTTTTCCAGAAGCTTTTAAATGTCTGTCTGTAGTCAGAAATTTATACTTATTAAATGTATGTTTATGCTTCCTTTTCAGACGCCTTGTTTTTGGCCTTCCAGATGTGGTGAACCAGAAAATACAGATTATGGTATTTATCATTTCTGTTTACAATAAACTATCCGTTGATCAAGTTATAGATCATATTAATTTATTTTGATGCTGTCTTCATAAGATCAACACATATTTATAATACAACACGGGTTAATATGGCTTGTAGTTGTTATTAAAAACACCCAATGGATACATTTCATTTAATGCTTCTGTTGTTGTACTTGCAAACATTTAGCTAGCAGCAAATTCATTCACTATTGAACATAAACAGCACATTGTATTATTTATCCATGTCTATTTTTAGAAAACTGCTGATTCATATCTAATTTCATTAAATCATTATCAAAACATGCATCTTATCGATTAAAAACACACACAAATAGTAAATAGAAATTTAAATTTAAAGTCATTCCCTCAGAGGATTTGGAAAGAAGAGAGAGAGAGAAATAGGGTTTAATGTCCACTCGACACAAACTAGGTCATTTCGGGACAAACATATGGTTCAATTTTATTTCCATAATTCGCTTGCACGTAGGGGTCTTTAATTAGCAGTGGGAGGAAACCGGAGGACCCTTAGAAAACCCACGAGGTTGGACAGGCGACCCTACTCCTTGTCACGTACAACTGGGAAATTTAAACCACGCCAGTTGAGTCAATGACAGACTTTATGATACAGCACGCGCATGCTAACCATTCAGCCATCCAACCCCCCGATTTGGAAAGAAACAGACTACTTTAACTTTTATTTTAAGAATTGGTAGTTCTTGACAAACTATGTAATATTCTTATTTGTCAGGTGTATTATACCATAAATTCTTGATCAAGCACATCCAAATTAGTGTCTCACAGCACACATTATCCAAATTGTTGCAGTAGCTTAGGACCAAATCATTGGATCAAGCTCGAAATTCTGGTTTAAGTTCCATTGACCCCCAGTCTATTAAGTATTATGAAATGTTATTTGAGTTACGATATTTTGACAAATAAGTAATTCTAAGAGCTCAAATTTTGTTTGTTATTTAAATGCTTAGAATGCTAGCCTACTCCACGCAATGAATTTCCGCCAAATAGAATTTTTGGGCATTTCTTATGTAGCCCTTTAAATTGCATGTTATACTGTTTCTATAGTCTGAGCACAGTAATCAAATTTGTAAAAAGTATACTGGTATATTTTTTTCTCTTACAGCTGTGTATTTATGCAAGAGAACAATGCAAAATAAACAGAGGCTAGAATTGGCAGATTACGAAGCTGAAAATTTAGCACGTCTTCAAAAAATGTTCTCTAGGAAATGGGAGTTTATTTTTATGCAAGCAGAGGCCCAAGCCAAGTGAGTTTAATTTTGTTTCTAATGATCGAGATCTCAATAGAAATCAGACAAGGCCAGCAAAGATCCTAATTAGCAAGTCTAATAAGACATCAGAATACCCTTTCTCAGCTACGAAACTCCAACAATAGATGGATTGATTAATGCTTCACAAATGAAATATGTAGGGAAAAATAAGGATATGCTTCCTTTGGATGGGTTTAATATTTAAGACCATAAATCTGTACTTGCTTTTTAACTCATTTAAAAACGGAAATGGAACTGGAATAAATTTGTGAAGAATTTTATAATCTAGATTCCTGTTCAAAGACCTGTTTTAAGAATAAACAATAAAAGTATTTTTAATAATAAGGAACTACAAGTACCTTCATAATGAAATTTTACTGTATTTTTCAATTTAATTTTTTTAGCGAGTTTTTCACCTTGGGTAATTCTATAATCTTTGGACCAGGCTGTCATGAAGTTTCATTTTTAATGAAGTCACTTCATAATTGCTCAATAATTAGTTTGTTGTCAAAAATTTAACCAGCTATAGGCTGTGAAGCTGAATATCATTTTTTCACTTAATCACTGGTGAGAATTTGATTCTTTGTAAAAACATCCTAGGTTAAGCTTGTCATGTCATCAACCTCAACAATCTCTGCCTTTAGCTATAGAATTATTTGTTGCGCTAATTTATGAGACAGCTATTCAATATGGAGCAAGTAGTTAACATTAATTATATAGCCTCTCCCATCCTAATATCACATGGCAAGAACAATTCATCTGTTTATATAAGCCAGAAAAATATGATGTGGGGATGGTGGATTCTCCTAGATCTATTACATCCTATGTATAGAAGACTTAACACCGAATTGCAATTTATTTCTTTTCTCCTCATTTCTCCATCTTGCTTGACAAACTATTGACAGATGGAGATGTATTCTCCTGTTTTTTACTCGACCATTTTCTGTTTTGTTGTAATTGCTTCAGATAGCAACGATTATAAGACAGATCAATAATTAGTGGAAATAGACAGAAGAAAGGGATGCTTGGAGATTTTACATTCAACCGGTAGATGATCAATTAATAATCATGTAATTCTCTTTACCATAGCATTTCAACCAATCAACATTGCAAAACCTATTAAACAGCCGTTAAATAATGTCATCTACGAAACTAGAAATTAAACCTATAATTGCCTTTAAAATTTTTTTTCATAAAAAATACTTTTTAGGAGAGATTCTTCATATATATTTAGAACAGATCGTGCCAGTTAACTCAATTTTTTAAATGCCCACATTATTGTTTATTTAATTCTATGTTGAATACATCCTTGGTATTTCCAGTACCGGGCTACCAGTAGAGCTGTAAAAAAAACAAAAACATGCATAAAAAGTTGGAAATACCCCCGGAGTATTCACTTGACACTTTCTAGTCAATATTATTTAAAGATTTTAACATAAATACAGTACCAATTTTACAAACAAAATTTAATGAGCTGTTTCAAACACAGATCTATCTATAGCCATGAAGACTTGCTAAAAATATTGGTCTGTGTTGTTTATTACAATTTTGATTTCCAGTGTATTAAACATACATTATGCAAGAGCTAAATCTGCCTGTTGCAGGTCTTTCTTTAGGCCTTAAATATTATCTAAATTATTTATTAGACATTTATTAACAAAACAAGACCATAATCAACTCTAAATGGCATCAGATTCTCAATTAGAACAGTTTGCCATTTAAAAATTGTAATTAAAAATGGGAAAATGAGGCTAAGTCTTGAATATACCTGTGCTCTGGTTACCACAATGCACACACATCTTGTCAAAACTACAAACAGTGATACCTTGGGTCAGAAAAAAGTAATTTAAATGAAATTTTCAACTGTTTCATTTTGCAATATCTATTTTTGAACTATTATAGTAAGAATGGTCAGCTCTTTATCTAAATCTTAACTAATGTATCTTTAATTATGATATTTAATTTAAGAATATTTACATGAAGGGGGGCACAAAAAACATTATAACTATGGATCCGATTGGGTACTATTCATTTACCCTAGCAAACTCGTTTTTTTTCATTAAAGCGCATACCTTCTTGAAAATGCATTATGCAATTCAAAAATACTAAATTATACTATAAAACATAAGTACTATGTCAAAAAGTGTCCAGTGTCCATTGATTTGGTCAATTATATTTTATCAGGATCACAGACCGCCATGACACCTCTGACGCTGAGTGATAATCAGTAGCTGGAACTCTCAATATAGTTGGCATTATTTATATTTCTGCTTTATTAAAATTTAATTCAAAGTGAAAATCAATGATTCATTTGGAAAATCAAAACATCTGAATAAACAATTTGTCAAGAAATTGAATAGAAGCGGCGATAATTCTAACAGTATTGGTAGGGTGGAAAAGTGAGCGAGAAGTCTATATTATCCAATCAAATTACTAAAATTTGTATTTTATCTTAATTAAAATTTCGTGAAACAGGCCCCTGGTTTAATGTCTTGTGCATTCTCTCATTACCTACAAAAGAATAAATGTATGATAGCCGTTGCAAACAGTTTAGACGACAAAGGTTCTTTAGGCATATATTTCATTGCTTGGCAACAACTAGGTTTTTTGTTTTAATCATCTTAACTTTTGATAAACTTAAATAAGGAAATGTATTATTGGTGCAATTTAGGCTTAATTGATTTTATTTGAGCACAGTTGTACTGGACAGATATGTTGTATCATTTCATTTCAATTTGTATGCAGTTATCACTGTCTCTAAACACTTTTAAAGCAGAAATTGCAAATTTTCGAGTTATATTTTTAAAATGTATTAAAATAAAGCCTTAAAATAGATGGTATCCATAAACAGTCCTACCTTGTTAAAGAATAATCCAATTAATCCTATAATTCGCTATTGCCAGCTGAGAAATTGGCAAAAATATCATTTTTAACTTCAAATTCCAACATTGGAAAATGGCTGCCCCATGTTGTCAATAGCAAACCAGGGGAGGTAATTGTGTTGTTATTTCCTGTGTCATAGATTTTTAAGGGTGGGAAATAATGCCCATGATCATATAATAGTGATTTGATAACCTATTGAGCAAAGGACATAGAAATAATTATGTTTTGACTTTCTTAGAAAATTTGAAATTCTCGCTTTAAGTCCAATCACTTACGCCAATATCCTATAAATAAAAAAAACTAGTTACTTTCAACAAAATCTAGAAATAAATCTAGTAATCTCAACAATCACCTTTTCCACCATACCTAGCTGAATTAGAAATATATCCAAAATGCAATTCTTAAGGTTATACATTCTATTCAAGGGTTAAGGTCAGATTCAAACTACTAAATTCATTAAAGGAGATAACGGACTAGATCTAATTTTGAATGGCCCTAGAGATCTGTTGAACAATTCTGATATTTTTATATTCGAAGCGATCCATAATATTATAAAGAGTACTATTGTTGTGTCAAATAGCTACATCGCTAGTATTTCTTATATCATTTCATGAAACTGTATATATGTTCGGTTTTACAATTCATTATGTTTGATCTTATTTTATGTATATTATGCTTCTTTTATGTTGTTTACTATTTTCTATATCCCTAGAAAATATATTATATACATGTTGTTCAACCTGTTTCAAATTAATAAAATACTGTTTAAACTAAACATGAATTTTATGTCATGGTGCATTACTTCCTTCAACAGTCTAAATTGTTTGTTTTGACAAATGAAAAATTTCCCTGTATCTTTTGATGTTTGTCACATCAATTAACATATCTTGATAAAAGAAAAACACTGACCATGTAATTGAGTTTTCTATTATATTGCATTAAGGAAAAACATTTGGTGAATTTTTACAAAATATTTATTTTTAGAAACATTGTAAGGTTTTTAGCATTTTAAATTTTATAACTTTTGTAATACATTTAAAGAACAATGAACTCCTACAAATTAAATTCTGATGAAACATAATTATAAATCTTTTTTATTTAACAAAGAAATAATTATAATTTCAAATATATTTTAATGCTTGCAAAATCACTTTATAAGGGTTAATCATATTTGTGTTGACAATTTACAAAATCAAAGTAAATCCATTCTGGCATGAATACAGTTAACGTCTAAAGTGGCCAAAAGAGAACAAACAAGAATATTCTTCTTTGATAGACATTTAATAATTGAACATTTGCTTGATAAAGATGAGAGTATCTTCGTCGATACATCGCTTAGTATTAAACTCAGTAATTGTGTATCCATAAAATTTACTTTGTGCTAAGAAATATACTTTTTATACACCCACATGGAAATGTGGGCGTATATTACCGTCGCCCCGTCTGTCCGTTGTCCACAATTTCTTGTAAATGTTCTAACGCCAAACGTTATCATCCGATTGATATTTGTTGTTTAAATTAGTGAAACGACGAAGCCTATTGAATTTCAGCAATTTCCATTAATTACATCTAGAGTTATGGTCCTTATTTATTTATTTATTTATTCTTCAAGTAAAGGTTACAACATGACAATAAATTAATGTATTATAATAAGAACTAGTGTCGCATTACACGACTGGGAAAGTGACAACAATAAATACAGATATGTATATGAAAATAAGAACTATGTGCTACATTGTAATGTGGGATGCCATATGAGACAAGCATAGAGAAATATGATAGCTATGGTGTCATGAAGAGACCTTTACTTAGGATAGCCCATAAAGCCTGACGTATATAACATCCGTTGCTTTGTCCTTGTGTCACTTTGTTCAATTTTATCAATGCTCGACCGACAAATGTTATCATTCGATCTGTATGAAATTTATATGCTTCATTTAGATTAGTGAAACGAAGAAGTCTATTTAATTTCAGCATTTTCCGTCAATTGCTTCTAGATTTATGGCTCTTGTTTTACTTTGTGAACCTTGTGAACGTTCAAATGACAAAAGTTATCATCTGATTTGTATGAAATTTATATGCATTATTTAGATTAGTAAAACGAAAACGCCTGTCAAATTTCAACAATTTCTGTAAGGCCCTTGTTTCAGTTTGTAGAACCTTGTGAACCTTCAAACGATGAAAATTATAAACTGATTTGTATGAAATTATCTTGTAATTGGGGGCATATGCTATAACCCTTGTCGACCGTTTGGACAATTTAGCTGCTGTGGGCGTATGTTTCATTGCCTGGCAACCTATCTTTTCTCTTATATAGCAGTTATGAAAGTAGGTAACTCTGAAAGATCCAACATGCCAATATAGACATACATTTTACAACCACACATCATTAAAATACATTTTGGTCCAAAAATTATTCCTATCAATCAGGGGGAGGGGAGGGGGGGCCGAATAGTTAGCATGTACGCACTGTAGCATAAAGTCTGTTGTTGAATCAACTGGCGTGCTTTCGATTCCTTGGTTGTACCTGACAAGGAGTAGGGTCGTCTGCCCAACCTAATGGGTTTTCTCCAGGTTCTCCGGTTTCTTCCCACTGCTAAAGACCCCTACACGCAAGCGAATTATTGAAATAAAATTGAACCATATGTTAGTCCTGGAAAATGACCTAGTTTGTGTCAAGGGGGAAATTAAACCCCATCTCTTTCTCTCGCTCTCTCTCTCTCTCTCCCATCATTCAATTCAAGTTATTGCTATTTTAAGTTTACATTTGTTTCTATTAATTTCTCACTGCCATCTTTATATCTCTTTATTAATAATAATTGTGGTATATTTTACATACAAGACATGCCAGCCCATACTACATACAGGTCGTTTTCTTCTTAGATATGCTTAAAAACATCTATAAGAAGAGACCAGATCCATAAATATTCAACAGCATTTACATTAAAATAATGCATGTTTTTAAAATACAAGTGAATTATCTGCATTGTTGTGCCTTTAATGTAGTAATTTTCGTTAGTGTAATTATTTTATCAAACATGGTTTATTATAATGCATTTCATCATAGTATACAAAATGATAATTAGTTAATATAACAATATTTGACCTTTTATTTGAAGTAATATTTCCTGTGACTAAAGTTTTATACGATATTGAGGTCAATCAGATTTATTCATTTATATTTTCAGAGTTGATAAAAAGCGGGATAAATTAGAACGAAAAGTTTTAGACAGTCAAGAAAGAGCATTCTGGGATGTACACAGGCCAGTGGTGTGTATTTTTTAATTTTGATTTTTGTGTTAATGATTTCATTTTGATAAAAAAAACATACAGAGTGGTAATTGAACTTTTAGATAGTCTAGACCAGTGGTTCTCAACCTTTTTTTTGCCAACGGCATGGCACACCTTGCAACACATAAAAAATAGCGGCACACCTGGCTAAATATATATGAAAAATATTTGAATTTTGCAAATTAAAACATGGTAAGTCAGACGTAATACAACCGTAGACAGAGACTAGTCATAGACACATAGAATGACTCCAACTAAATGAAGAAAAACACAGCTATGACTTTACCAGTAGACACCAGTGAATACTCAATTGGGATCACATGGTTTTTCGCATATTTTCTTAGTGACCTGGTACACTTGTTGAGAATCACTGGTCTAGACCAATATGGTTGATTTGCTTATACTTTATGTGTTATACATTTTCGTGTTTGTTCTTAATTTAACATATTAATTTCATATCCTGTATGATGCATAGTTAAAACAATTTTAATAAATTATACTTGTAACTATCGTATATATTATTATATATATGTGTGGCAACTTTAATGTGGATGGGTTTTGCTTTTGTTCAATTGTTGTGTAGTTATTTATTGAATATGTCTATAGTAATACACATGTTTTTTTAAACCTGTAGATAGAGATAATAGTTGTATTGATAATCATGGGCGTGGATTTAGTGTGGGGGATGGGGGGGGACTCGTCCGCCCCTTAGAATAGGTCTCTGTCCCCCCCATGATTTTGATCGCCAGGACAAATTTTCAGGTTTATATCCACATGATGGTGGACTTGTTTCTACTTATCTGGAACTGAATCGGGACTTGAAACAAGAATTGTCATTCTTCAAGCGCCAGTTTTCGGCCAAATCTATTTTACTTGTGCATGAAGCGTTCATCATTATGTCACCTGAAGTGAGGCAGATGTTCCCTTCTATCGAAGCTCTTCTCATCTCCATCTCACACCCTGCTTGTTCCGGCTCAGCCGAGCGATCCTTCAGCACTCTGCGCCGTATCAAAACTTGGCTGCGCAACTCCATGACGCAAAACCAACTGAACCACTTGATGGCGTGTGGGGTGCATAATGACCCCCTTCATGTCGCCGAGATATTTAAAGAGAACAGTCCTGATCGTAGAACGAACGTCTTTGGACGATTCACTTAACTTCATGAACAATTAATATTTATGCAGCTTTGATGTAGGTAGTCAATTTTTCCATAGTGTATCATATTACCCCTAGTTAAAGCCTTCATCGAAATAACACTGGGACAGTAAACTGTTCGTAATTATTTATTTCATTTGGTAATGAAATGCTCCAGGTTCCAGGGTTCGTCCCCCCCCCCCCAAAGTTATGACAAATCCACGCCCTTGTTGATAATATATATATTTATGACATATGTTTTATATATGTATTTTCACATACATACATCCATATACCAGCTGTTAGTTATATTTAAGCTTATATCAAATATTCATACTCTATGCTATCATATAAATAACAGTATGATGTAGGTCAGGGTTTAGTATCTTTAGGTGCAATGGTTTTGTTTGAAAACAGAAAGGAATTCTATGGAATAAAAACAAATGGATAGATTATTAATCATATATCTAATAATTTAATCTCTATTGTCCTGTACTTAATATATAACAACACACCCAGATATTTAGGATATTTTTTTAATGGGATTGTACTAACCTTTAAAGGGTTCATTACTATAAGGAAAACACTGACATTTTTTAAACTATATGCACTCCTCAATCATTATAAAATAAAAGTTATAAAAATAAAAAAGTTCTAACTGAAATTAGTCTTTTAATATTTATTTACCCTATAAAAGCAATCATCTAAGCTAATAAACCAATTTGTATTTCTAGAATCATTAATTAATATTGAGTAAATAAATTTGCAGACCAAGAAAAAAAAAATCTTTTTTGAGGGGGGGATAAAACAGTACAGTGATGCATATTTCTCACTAATTTTACCAATTCAAAAGGAAGTGTCAATTTTCATTTTGTCTGACATTTAAAATACAAGAACAGTTTTGCACTTAATCTATCAAGTTTGATGTTTTTAAACGGCCATTGATCTTTCCTATTATCTTGTAGCCGGGCTGTGTGAATACAACTGAAATAGATATCAAGAAAGCATGTAGAATGAATCGACATTCAAAAATGTCACGGGTATGTATTTCTCCGAACAAAGATAAGACCTCGAATAATTATCTGGAAATTTATAAAAAACCTCTGTGCATGCATACTTTTGAACATTTATTACTTCAATGAACATTTACTTACCTTTAAGTTTTAAAAAAGAAATTCCTGTGGAATTAATATATCACTGGATTTCCAGTTTGCAAAGAACTTCATTGATTGAAGTTACTTAGAAAATCCTTACTCAATACAAAAGTATAACAAAATATTATGTTCTCTGTTAATTTTACGACCAAAAGAAATAAAGAGATAGCCCTGATGCTAATATTTTATATATTTTATATTTATTTCTATGCAGTGATAATGACTTACATACATTTATCTTAATGTCCTTATGTAATTTTGTAATGTTTTATTTATCAGCCAAATTATGCAGTACCAGGGGGGAGAATTAGTCCTAGTGTTTCTGAAGCAGAACTTAATAATTCTGCAGAACAAATAAAAACTGATGTAAGTGTTAAACATTTTTATTGGACTAATATTATTATTTGGTATTACAAAATATTTTCCACTCCATTATGTTTCATTTAACTTTATTATGATTCTTTACCTATTGCAAAATACGACTCACATCTAATTAATTAAAAGAAAGTTCCAAGAAATACTGTTTTTGGCAAATATTTAGATCAGTTTGGTCCATTATTACTTTCATCTCCCTATATAATTACACTTTTGACCCATTAGCCATTAAACACTAATTAAAGCAAAGACTGGACAATCTTGTTCAGTCTGCTTTCCATTAGATGATCAAGGTCAGTCAAAGGATTCTTAAGACCTGGAGATCTTTCTACTGATTGAGTCATATTGATATTGACTACATAACATCCCTGTAGAACTGATGGCAATGTAGGAGAAATAACCTTTATGATAACATTTAAAAGTAATTTTTTGTTAATTTCTTTAGATTTATGCGCTTCGGAGCAAATTAGAAAAAAGAAGAGTTAAAATATCGAAAGTAACGGAAAGGTAAGTAAAGCTTGAAACTTAAGGTTACATACTCTCTAAATAGAATTCTTGGAGATATGTGATACTATAATATAACTTAACATGGCTGCATTTCACTGAATAACTGTAAACATAATTAGAAAATAAATTTCCTTAAAGGTACATTATGTAATACCTAAATCTGCCTATTATCCTTATTTTTTCTGGCTTCAGATGTTATATATACTAAACAGCATAAAAAAAAAAAAAAAAGCGTCAGTACATTTTCTCAAAACTTCAAACAATCATGACTTTGCACAGAAACAAAGTAATCAATATATTCATTTTTCATTATCTATTTTTAAATCATTATAGCAAGAACGGCTAGCTCTTTACTTTATTCTTACATAATGCTTCCTTAAATGGTTTATTCTCTCATGTTTATTATGTCAAAACACAAAAAACTTTTATTATTTAAATCATGTATACATTTATACTAGTTAAGAATTATTTATATTACAGTTTTATAGCATACTACCAGCAATATGCAGAATATGATGCCTTTATAACTAATCCAGATCCAGCTAATCCCTGGATTTCAGATAATCCAGAATTTTGGGAACAAGAAAGATCACTGTAAGTATAAACTGTCTACAGATAAAGAAAGAGGATTTTCAGATAATGTATACTAAAAAGTACACCTGTAAAGTCTCTAATGGCATTCAATTATTTAACATTGATCATCGTTGATCTCCTCTCAAGGGGCTGACCAGATTTGTGAATTTCTTGGTAATATCTACAAGATATATAAGAATTCCTTTTCTTAAAGAACAATAGCTGAAATGCTTTCCAGTCAAGATCATCATTAAAATAAAACATTTAACTTTATTCACTACACAATCACCATTAAAAAAACCCATTTAACTTTATTCACTAATTTAGTTTAGATTAAACATATTTTATTGCAAATAATTTACAAAGAGATTAGGGCAATTTATACAAATTATGAACTTCCCTCCTCACATTGAATATAATGTAATATGTTGATGACAAAACAAACATTTAACAGACACTAGATACAGCCATATATAATATATAATTATCTATCATCTATTTATAGTACTTACACAGTTTTACATGATACTTGATGCATGAAACATAAGCATTATGATTTGTGTATTTAATACCAATTATACAGGGGTATATAACAGTGTTGTGCTATCATGCAAATTTGTATAAATCAATATCACATTAAAGATTAAAGGTTAAATATCAAGTTTAAGACCATACACAATCAAAAGTACTTTTTGCAGAAATCTTTTTGGTCCAGAATTATGCAGATCGATCAATTCTAATAGACAAATATAGTACCTGTAATGATAATTGTGCTATCTTTTTTTCGTACAATCCAGCTTATTCTTTATGAGAGGCTCCTTACACTCGAATGAGTTTAATTACGTTTAAAGGAAAAGAGCCTTTAAATTTTGAAATGTAGTTGAATGGTGTGAAGAGAGACTAAAAGTGAACATATAATGTGGAAATGTTTACAAACACCACAAGAGAGACTAAAAGTGAACATAATCATGAGGAATTATTTTCAAACACCACAAGAGAGACTAAAAGTGATCATAATAAAGTGGAATTGTTTGTAAACATCACACGAGAGAAGAAAAATTAATATAATAATGTGGGATTGTTTGAGGAGTTCATAAGCTCATAAATGTTTTAGTTGTACTATGCAATAATCAGTCATGTTTATATGTATTTTCCAGGAATGCTAGAGATATACCACAACGTCGGGTTAAACTTTGGGCTTTCTGTGTAGAAGAATTATTACGGGATGCAGCTGGAAGGGATCATTTTGGAAAATTTTTAGATAAAGAATTTAGTGGGGAAAATTTAAAGTAAGTTTCTTAGAAATAAACACTGGGATTAGCAATAGCCTTCTCTGAAACAGGTCATTAATTTGTTTTCTTCAAGATCACTAGGTAAGGATTTCTATAGGACGGATTAGTGATAAATGGACTTGAAGCAGATGAGAGTCGGCCGTTACACTTAAACCATTATATTAGTATATAAAATTTAGAATGATGATACACACAATTTGCCAGTTATAGACTGTAGAAATTGACAGCCAAGTGATGATTTTGTAGAAAGGCATGTGCCAGATAGTGTAATCTGTAGTTGAAGTTGTTTAAAGCTCTTGAGTAAGACCTTGCATAATATATGCCAGTTGTTTACCTGGCATTGTGCGTGTAACAGCTCTACGACAGGAGTTTCTTCAAACCAGAAGTAGTATAAATGAGGAAGTGGTAGTGCAACTCCACCAGGCCTAGGTAACTCCCCGTCCTGAGTTTCACTCATATGTACGCTAAATTTCTTCCTCAGGACAGACACAGTGTAGCTGCCAACCATAAACAAACGACGGTCGCATATATGGATAACACTCTGAATAACACCATAATGCAGCATCAATATATTACTTAATGTCTCCATCTCAACCTTTAAATCACAAAGAATTTAGAGTCTTGCAATGAAAAGAATACCAATGTCAATGCGATGCACACTCTACATTTGCCATATTTAATACTTATTTCTAGAATATGCAATAACATTTACATTGAGATTCTTTGTCCTGTATAAAAAAATTTTTTTCAGATTTTGGTTAGCGTGTCAAGAGTTAAAAGGCCTTCCAATGAGCGATGTACATCAAAAGGTCCATGAAATATTTAGGTAAGTTTGATAATTGCTATTAGGTATTAGAAATGAATAAATCTAACAGGGATTTTATGTAGGACATTGCAAGGTAGTCGTCTTCGAGTGACAACCCATTCTCACAACCACCATCAACCTGTCATCAAAATATCATCCAGTCACAGAAATCTTACATACATATTATACTGATGAGCCATACCTCCATTCATGCCCCTTTCCTGAATATCGCTAGCTCTACATTCCTAGAAGCTAGGTTGACTGAAATTTGGGACCATAGAAGAAGTGAAGAAGGCCACGGTTAATTAATTGTCTGTTTCTCATGACCCGCCCGCATGTCCATTTTCATCCATAATAATTACGCACTTCCTTAATTAACATAAAGCTTACAGTCTTGTGTTGTCTATTACATGTTGGTCACATGGTTTGTGGGAATGAATCCTTGTGTGAAATAGCTTTATTTAACGTCCGCTTCCACTGAAGTGATATCGCAGACAATTACATGTTATATATACAAGGGGGGTTGGATGGCTGAATGGTTAGCGTGCGCGCGCTGTATCATAAAGTCTGTCATTGAGTCGACTGGTGTGGTTTCGAATCCCCGGTTGTACGTGACAAGGAGTAGGGTCGCCTGTCCAACCTCGTGGGTTTTCTCCGGGTCCTCCGGTTTCCTCCCACTGCTAAAGACCCCTACGCGCAAGCGAATTATTGAAATAAAATTAAACCATATGTTAGTCCCGAAATGACCTAGTTTGTGTCGAGTGGACGTTAAACCCCATTTCTCTCTCTCTCTCTCTATATATACAAGGTGAAAATATTTAAAATGTGATTAGTGGGAAAAAAGGATATTTAGGTTTTTATATATATGTACAGATGACAATAAATAACAGGACGTGGCGTGATATAACAGGTGCAAAATTAAAAAAAGTGCCAGTAGAGACGATCACAGACATTGACAGACGAATTTTTGACAAAACAGACATGAATATGGACGAACAATTAGACAAGCATAGACATTTACATACGGACATTTTGACAAAACAGACATGAATGAGGACAAATATTTAAACATAGTGACATAGTATGTACATATATATATTTCTTTGGGTCGTTTTCGTCGGTCTGGTCAATTTGTCCGGTTGAATGGCAGGACGGTGCAACTCTTCCTTGGGGTTTGTTGGTGAGTGTATGGCCTGGTCCATTCTTCCTTCCATTTGGTTTTATTGTCCGGTATGGTGGCTAATTTCGTCTTTAGTTTGTTATTCGTTCCTTTTGTTTATTGGTTCTCTGAAGAAAGAATCCAGCACCTGAAAAGAAGAAAGAGAGTATATATGGTCTTATAGTGGTTATGTTTCGCCTAGTAAGGCTTCGGGCGGGGGGACGGGCGACGAGTTAGAAACTAATAATAAACTAATTAGGTAGATAAATAATGAATAGAATAAAAATAAATAAAAAAAAATAAAATAAAATAAGGTAAAATAAAGTGAAGTAAAGTAAAGTAATAAATTCAGTATGGCACTCTTAATCGTATATATAAAGTTAGTTTAAAAATGTTCTTTATTTCGATTTCATTTGTAAGTACAATACAAATGAAATTGAAATAAATCCAATTGTTGAACATTTAAGTACAGAATGTCAACCTTCAATGACGCTGGTTTTTAGCAGATGTAACCAATTATAAGTGTTTAACAGACAAAGAGTGTTAAAGTCAACATATGCCACATTAACAATGTATAATGTCACATGATCTTAATTGAATTCTGTTTAGATGTAGTACATGGAGGTCACTAATTGTCCTTCACAGGGCTCACGCTGGCTTTCAATTTTTTTACGCCAAAATGGATGATAATTTTTATATAAAGAAAATGTTCATATTTTTTTCTGCCAACTGGAATATTTTATCTGCGAAAAATGTGTGATAAGAAAGGCAACATCTAACCATTTTATGTCTCAGCTAGGCTTATTATAAAACAATTAGAGATATATACAATACAATATACAACAACTTTAAAAATCTGTCTAGATTTGCAAAGTTTGGATTTAATAAGATCAGATTTTATTTTTAGTGACTTCAGTCTATTTGAACACTGTACTGTACAATATATTTTCAGTATTTACACGTCAAATCTTATCCAAGGATTGCCAATTTTCTCTAAATTTTTGTGTTGCGTGCACAATGGACCTATTGTTATTTTCAGGTACCGTAAAGGTATCAGAATCTGAATCCTTGATAGAATGGTATAAATTTCAATTATATTTGTAACAGATGCTTACAATTTTTCCCGTCGTTAACTTTTACAGCATTTTGGTGACGGTAATGTGATATACATGTAAATACCGAACTGTTTTCTCGCTCAAAAATCGTCACTATTCGACTCGTTCTTACTTTTTCGACCAGTGGTGATAATATAATTTGAAATAAGGATATCCAATAGGCATGCTTGTATATTTTACATGCCGTATATGAAGCCACTGTAAACAGAATTCAGCTATTAAAATATTTAATTCTCTTCGAAAGGAACTGTCGGCCATTTTGATTACATGTATTACCATTTTTATGACGAAACGAAACATCAAATAATCACCACTTGGATTAATCATTAGGAGTAAATAATGACTTGACATAGGCTTTAAATATATATCCTTGGCAATTATCAATCAACTTATCATTAATCCAAGACACAACTGAATTAGTATTACTCATTGACGCGATCCAGATTATCAGCCAGTTGATTAATTTATAGTAGCCTGTCATGTGATTGATACTCAATAGTCGTTAATCCAGGATAAATACAATTAGAATTTTAAGATTTTTTTCTGCCAGCTCTCACAAAGAATCGCCAGTTCCGCAAAACATTATCGTCAAATCAAATTTTAATCGCCACTTTCATATTTTTATCGCAAATTGCGACTTTGGCGACCGACAGTGTGAGCCCTGGTCCTTCACTTTTCAAAAAATGGAGGGGACTATAAAAATGAGTTTGTTTGTCTATCTACCCTTCACACTTATGGGAAACGAAAATCCTTCTTCTACTTGGGCTAGAATGGTCAAACTTGGTGTCGTTGTTCATTAGAAAAATGTCTTGATTGAGTTTAACGATGAGTATTTGATTGCCAGATGTTTTATAAAAAGATAAATGTGCAAATAATTAATGAATGTCATCTATATATTTTGGGATTGAGGTGGGGACATAAGCCTCATTGTTGAAGGCATTGATGCATAATTCAAGCAACTAAAGGGAAACAACTCTATTTTGTTTACTTATTTTTCAGTGAATTTCTTGCCCCTGGTGCACATAATCCTGTAAATGTTGATTGTCAAATAATGGAATTAGTTCGTAAACGAGTAGAAAATAACCCAACACGTTTTTGTTTTGATGAAGCACAGGTAAGAAATAATCATTGTAATTTTTCAACATCTCTGCATCTGGACCAAGAATAAACTCAGATTATCAGAAAAGAACTTTCCGGATTTTTTAAGTGCAGCTCTCACTGGTGCAAAAAGTGTGTCTAATCTTCTGGTTAGGACAAAAAGCAGACATCCCATGATTAAATAGTTGGTATATAAAACATTCCTTGTCAGTTAGAATACAAAGTTCTCCCTCTTGTATTGCACACATAACCATAGAAATACATATTAGCATATGTTAGTTTCAGAATCCTCCAAATGAAATGTTGACGAGACATTACTGTAAACTTATTCCGTTCTTTATAATAAGATTCCTTGGAAAGTTGAAAAGGGCATGTAAGTAATGGCATTACAGATGCACTTGTGATCACATTGTAGTTAAGATATCACAAAATTACATAGAAACCAGTAGGTAGTTATTACATATGACTTTCATGTTACTGGTACTACAGAACGTTATTGATGATAGAGAACTGTATATATTTCAGGACCATATATTTAAATTAATGAAATGTGACAGTTACAGTCGGTATTTACGGAGTGATATGTATAAAGAATATTTAAGTGGAACACGAAAGAAAGTAAGATTATTACCAGTTATACCCATGACCTGGACTCATTTTAAAAATTGATATTTACAGCTTGATGTATTTGTTATTTCTTTTTGTATTCCCATCTTCTGTATTTAATATTAAGTCTTTGTTTTTTTTTTCTTTCTCTTATTTTACTGCCTATTTATTGTTACTGTTGGTTTTTATTTTTTTTATTTTTGCATTTGTTCAATGAAAGGCCTAAATTTTTAAAATTTTGCCAGTTGTGACCAAAAGACATTGAAATTGAACCACTAATTCTGTGTTTATTATTTTGTTTAATTGACTGCTTTTAATAGTAATATCTGAATCAAAAACCAGAATCTTTCAGTAGCAGTTTACACCTAAAAAATTGGCTTATGTCTGCAAGACCAGGGCTTGTATAAGCCTGAGCAGGACCAGTTTACACAGTGCATGTTTCTATTTCTGTATAATTGAGTATTGCATGTTAATAGATTTTAATGGAAAAATAAAATGCAAATCATTTCAAACTACGGATCACACATATAGAGTAAATGAAATGTATATTTGATGTTTATGTATACGTTTTAAGTCACAATTAATTGTATTCAATATATCTGTGATAATTTGACAGAACAATAGATAATGCGCATAGCATATTTTGCCAGGACAGCTATTGTTGTATTAGAAGATTATTTTTTTTCCCACACTTGTATTATTTATGTAAAATACTTTCATTTTTTTCTAAGACTGAATAAAATGCATGAAGCCCAATCAATTCCTAAGAAGAATGTACAATAATCCAACCTAAATATGATTTGGCCCGTAAATGTGGAAAGAGAGAGTTTTGAATAAGTACAGTTTGTCTATGCTCAACCTGCCCTCAGCTGATCATAGGCAGTGGATTTTATTCTTGTCCTGTCTTTTGGGTTTGATCCTCGCTTAATGATCTACAGAAATGGGGCTTGTAGAATGTGGGCAGACTGCAGATTACGGGTCCTACTAATCACCGACAAGAAACAAAAACCGACAAACCCGTTTTTTTATTCGCCCACATTGAAATGTGGTCGTATATTGTTGTCCGGTGTCCACACTTGCTTGTGGACACTCTAATCTCCCATAATGTGTCTTTAAACTTTAGATATTCTGGCTTGGATTCAATCAGATTAAAAAGAGATTTAACTGAACACTTATAGGTGGTGCTGGCTGGTTAAATGTTGAGCAATTTTCAATTCATATCTTGTCTTTGGAATGATATTCTTTTTAGACAGTCAACTTTCATAATATTGTAGTTTGAAAATAGTATGACCACCAGAAGAAACGTAAAAAAAAACCCAAACCTTTTGCATGATGACTAAAGATCACTAATATACGATGGCATCGGTTGATTTAGTCATTCATGGCCATTATATCCTCTCACAATGTACAGGATTTTTTTTTTCTCTGAGATTCTGAAAATCTATTGTTACATTTATTCGAGAGAAATGAAAATGAAATGAAATGGGGTTTAACGTCCTACTGTTCTGCTCCAAACTGGGCTAATGAAGACAGCCATGCGCCATACAGTGTGCTATGAGGGATATTTTGCTCGGACAGCGGCACTACAGCCTACTCTTCTATCAAATTCCAACTGTCAAGGTATCTATTACGTGCACGCCAATGTGTACACAGGACCTCGGTTTTACATCCCATCCGAACGACTAGACAGCTGTCCTTGTCAGGCCCTCCGTCCTACATCACTGACAAGGTGGAACCTCGCCGGAAAATCTGGTTGAAAACCCGACCTCCAGGCTAGCGAGCCAGCATCCAAAAAGTAATAAATCATAGATTGCTAAAATCCTGAAACTACAACCCTAAAGTCTGTCCCATACGGGAGCGTGTAGGGTGACTCAGTGGTGACGTCAAAATGATACAGCGTAACGCCTACGCAACATTTGCGTCAGATGATGCGACCATAGCGTCACCACAAGTGACTTTTGGTAGTCAGTTGGATGTGATATGTAGAATATCTATAACATATCTTTCCTTGTCAGTCACTTTTTGCAATAGTTTGGGCGATATTGACAAAAGAAATGCTCTTGTAGGTGATCAGTAGGACTGCAGATTATAGTTGGAAAAATTATTTGATTATCTTCAAATGTTAAAATGCTACTTTTCTTTTACCAGTCCCTTATTTATTTTTGTTTTGTTAATTTTTTTTTTGTTATAGGCACAATACCATTAATAGTATTAATTTAATTTTGAATGTATTTTGTGCTATTATTTGCATGTATATCTTCTGTACAGTGTGACTGACTGTGATGCAATTATTAATATTTTTTTGTATAAAAGAATGTATAAATTATTTATATATATATGCTGTGTACATAACAAAGTTTTCCTTTTTATATGCCAACACGGAAATGTGGTTGTATATTGCCGTCGACCCTCTCTGTATGTATGTCCGTCCGTCCATCATCAACAATTTCTTGTGAATACTCTACAGACTACATTCATCATCTAATTGTTTTGAAATTGATATATGTTGTATATATCAGTGAGATGAAGAATCCTATTTAATTTCAATAATTTCCGTTAATTTCTTCTGAAGTTATGACCTGTGTTTAACGCTGCTGAACCTTGTGAACGCTCTAACTACAAATGTTATTATCTGATCTGTATGAAATTTATATGCATCATTTAGATTAGTGAAACGAAAAAGCTTGTCGAATTTCTGTAAATTACTTCCAGAGTTAAGGCCCTTGTTTCAGTTTGTAGAACCTTGTGAACCCTCAAAAAACGATAATTATAATCTTATCTGTATGAAATTGTCTTGTAAAAAAATGCCCCCAATTATCTTCAAAAGAATAAATATGTGACAACCCTAGTCGACTGCTCAGATGATATAGCTGCTGTGGGCGTATGTTTTGTTGCCTTGCAACCTATCTTCTTTTAATGTGACACTGCCAGAAACATCACAATAAAAGTTATGGGAAATGAAATGATATGAATATTTTTTGTGTAACTATATATAAATGTATATATACTATACATAAAGTACATATTGTATCTACATATGCTAAAATGTAAACTTGTTTTGTGATATATCATAAAAATACTGGTAAAACAACATATATTATGAAAGTTTTCTCATTTAAAAACATACATGATAAACCGACTGCACTTGTATACCATATCCCCATTCACACATTTAATTTATCTGTGGCACTCAACTAAAAAGAGGATAGTTATTTTGTATACACAAAATTAGTTAAATAGCTATGATGATTATAGAACAGGCAATCGGGTATGATTAGCAAACAGGTTTTTGGACACAGGTTGCAAATTATTTTAAACAAATACATGGAATTTCAATGAAGGATAACCATCATTCGACTACATCTATCGATTACATACAGATAATGCCTGTTTACCTATGGATAATTCCCCTGTTTACCTATGCATAATGCCTCTTTACCTATGCATAATAGTTCATACCTAGAGATAATACCTATGGATAGGATAGGCATGCACTTAACCAGTAAATTAATGCCCCTTTCCTAATGGGTAATTTCTATTTACCTAAGGATAATAAAGACTTTTGGCAAGCGGATTTTTCCCATCCGTATCCCGTATCCGTATCGTATACGTGATACATTGCGTCAATGTAGTTTTAGAGTTTTGGCAGATTTTAGCAATTTTTGGTTTCACTAGTGTATTATTTCAGAAAGTTTAGCCCGTAGATCAATCAGTATGCAGACAGGCGGGAAAAATATGAAAATTCCGAGAAAACCCCATCAAAAAAAATGATTAAATTCCAGTCGTTATCACTGTTAAAATCTCATCAAATATACACTTTCGTGTTCTAGGATACACACAGATTCATAAAAACGCTATGATGCAACATTTCAGCGTCTAAAAGTAGCAAAAAAGACGGGAAATGATGACAGTGTTATATGGACCATTTCCGTATGAAAGCCTTTCCATACGTGCTGCAGTATCCGTGTGCCGTATCACGTATGAGAAATACACAGACATTGATGACGTCACACGCAAAATCCATACGGATACGCGATACGGACCAGGAAATTACGCTTGCCAAAAGTCTCTACTACCTATTCACCTGTGGGTAATGTCTATTCACCTGTGGGTAATACCTGTTAACCTTTGGTTAATGTCTATTTACCTATGGATGATACCAATTTACCTACGGATGATACCTATTTACCTTTGGGTAATGCATATTTACCTATGCTTAACTTAATACCTATGGATAAGTCCTGCAATTAATTGATAATACCTATTTACCCATATGAATATTTTAGTATTTCACACAGTTTTCTTTTAAAGCCAAAGGGTTTTAATTTATCTGGTATCTTGCAAATAACAACATTTTTATTGAAATATCAATGAATTACAGAGATTGTTTTAAAATTTATTTTAAACAGAATAAAAAGTTAGTTAATATTGCTGCCTGATTAACAGATGGCATGACTGTGTACTAGTGATTGTAACAGCTGGGTCTTTTAGTCTCTGTTAGTTTTATTCAAAAATATCAAATCAGTTTTGCCCCCAAACATATAGTACCTTCAAGGTAATATAATTACGCTTTGTTTAATATAATTAATATCTGAAAGAAAGATGAAATCTTTGTTTAAATATTCTTGCATTTCTTTCATTTAATTGTTTTATATTTTATTGTTATGTATTTTATTTTAACTTGTTTTTATTTTGCATGAAAAATCAAAATAAATTTTTTGACATATATATGTTGTGATTTTTTTATTTGCAATTTGCCCTTCTCATGTTCTTTTTCTAATCAATTATCCTACCTTTTTACAATCATTCGTTGTAGCTGAATGTTTTGGCAGTGTTTATTTTAGATGCGGCACTTATTTCAAATAGATTTGGTTAAGTTTTGGGAGGAGGAATCAAGTGCATTTGACTCCCAATACTGCCCTAAAGTACCATATTTTTATTGTTATGAATAATACCGACATCACCAATTAGCATGGAGCATTTAAATGAAAAAGTTCTGGATTTGAATGATTTTATTTTTGCAAGATTTATATCAAGCAGATAAAAATATTTGGAAGAAAAACAGTGAGAACCTTTTTGGATTGCAGAACAGATCTATAAGATACCCTAAAAAAAAATAGTCCTGAAGTAATGGCTATCATAAATAAAAATATGTTCGGAAATTTGAAAAAATTCTGCAATAACAATTTTAACATCTTGGGGAAGGAGGCTGAAAGATGGAATATTTACATGTGGTATACTGAATCCTCTTACTTCTGTGATTTTTTTGACTCTTTTCTGCCCTTTCTGAATATTTTCCATCACTCTCGAGATTATTGCATCCTAGATTTTAATGAATATTTTGATGTTTTTGATGATTTTATTTAAATATGTTCATGTTTTTCATTGACTATTGAAAACTCTAAATGTAATATTTTCTCATCTTTTTTAATTTCTCATGCACAATTACTTTGCAATTATTTTGTCTGCTGTACAAAAGGCTAAGCTCAATGTGTTCGAAAAAAAGATGATTTTCAAAAGCAATATTATAAATCAGAGAAGCACTGATTAAAAAAAAATTTAGATATCAGACTAAAACTAGGATTATGAACTTGTTTCCTTCAGTCTCCATTTATCAGTGTTGATATGAATATTAGAATATAGGCTTCAAGATATAATGTATAAAATTTTTGAAAGTATTAAATTGAAATTTTGGCTCTTCAAACATGTATAATTTAACTTTTAATGGAATCAGACAGACAAGATAAGTAATTATATAGTACATTATATAGATTCTAGATAAGAAATAGTTAGTTTATCCAATAGTTCCAGATGCATATCTATCTATTCCTTCCTTTCCTTACAGCAAACAAGATCCATTATTCCCAAGTTGCCAAGTTTATCCATCGGCGGAACATGATGCACTGATTTGCACTCTTTCCTGCTTGCACCTCAACATTTACTCGCCTTCATCTGATGGATTCATCTTTAATATTTACCTGCTTGATTGGCCAATCAGATGCACTCTTCCTATCTTTGCAGCGTCTATGTCACCAGCGATTTGTGTGGATGTTTCTCATTTATTGACACTAATTCTGTGGCTTCGTATCGCTTCAGACTTTACACTATCTGGGCATGTTTTCTTTTCTTACACTTCAATGTTTTAGTTTTTGCTTGTTTTAATCTCTATGTGTCTAACAAGTTAAAATAAAAAACGCTAGAATGCTGACTAACTATGTTGCTTCTTTGCTGTTTTCAGAGTAAAAAAAGACTTGAAATAAGAAAAGTGGTTCAACAACTGTGAATTCACTGTGTCCTGGGTGTTTTTGTTTTTTTCTTTTGCCGTGGTAGGCAAAATAAAAAGTGATTTTACATAAGAAAGATGTGTTTAGTGTTGTTCACAATGATTGGTTTGTGAATTAAAATATAATTTCAATTTACTCACAGCCGTTGTGATGATTGATAAAGTGCACAGATAAAACTTATGCAGAAGAAATGTGATAATTTTGTGCTGGTATCGAGGAATGTGGCATGTTCTTATGAAGGTGCACTTAAAGATATTTGTGTAAATGTTACAAGATTCTGAGAATCAGAACGTGAAATTGGTACATATATAGAGACGATATCCAGTGAACCAAACAGTCATGTTTTTTTAAATATATATATATATATATATATATATATATATATATATATATATATATATAAAAATCATGTTTCATGAACATTGATCGCAAACCTTCTGATTGCATTTTTTCGTCATACCAATAAGCTGTTCTATTGTAGTGCTTATTGCTGTGATAAAAGGAGGTAGTTATTTTATTGAGATTACCATTTCAAGTTAAAATTGTATGCTTCACCTTAGTGATTAACAGTAGTACCAAGAACTGTTTCAAGGAAAATAAGTCCAATGATAAACCTAGGATAAGAGATACAAGTATTTAACAATCCAGTTACGTGCCAAATTTATTTTTCATTGTTATGTGTAAGGTCTCTGTTAAGCCCTATTTTGTTGATGTGTAGAATGTATGAAAGATTATAGAATTAACACTAAAATTATTGTGTGTTGATATTTTTTTGTGAAGAAATATCATTAGTGCAGTTATTTAACAGCTCTATGATAATTTAGTTGTACTTGATACGTAAAGAAACTTGTTTTTGTTTATAGAAATAGAATTCATAGTCATAGCATGATCCATAACTAAATATTTTATAGTCATTTATCTGCCTTTATAAACATTTTAGGATGTGTTTGATCATCAAGAATCCAAACCTAGATTCTCGAAAAAGAGATTCAAGTTAACGAACAGTATTACCAATAGCTGACTTGATTCGACTTCAAGATGTATTGTACTTGGATATTGACTTAAGAATGAATGCCATTTTGAATCAGTACCTCCAGATGAATTATCGGATTCCTGTATTTAGATTTGGATTTGAAAACCTTCATGAAACAAAATGGATTCAGAAATAATAAAGAACCTAGATTTGGATTTGTGACAATCAACACACCAATTTTTGTACCAATATGGGGATATTACAGATATGTATGTATATGTAACGTTTAACGATGGGAAGTTTATAAGTTGTATAATATTGACAAAACTTATGGAAGGGTATCACTGCCAATATTAAATGCCCTGCGACAATGTCGTTTCCATTGATTATATGTAAAATGTACAATGTACAAAGTCCTAATACCGTTAATGATAAAAGTCAAAATACCTCTAAGGTAAGAGTTAAATGTAAAATTTCAAATGTTAAATGTTAAATGACAAATGTTTAGTGGGAAAATGCTTTTTTTGACGTGTCTACATTTTACATTTCTCTCATTACATTTTACTTTTGCGCTCTGCCACATCCCATTTGTCCTTCATGCTTTCTACATAGCATCTTTCGCACAGCATCAACTTTCATATGCAAATGTAGGATATCACGTGACTTATTAACATATATGGAAACCTGGCACACTATAAACCAGCACACTATAAGGATATTCACCGCACGATAACAGTAAATCAAGCTGGCACACCATAAGAAACTATCTAGACGACCGTGTGTAATCATGAATGTGCCAGGAAATAATTGATAGATTCAAACAGCCAAAGAAACATACTTTCCAGTAATTTATAACACAATAATTGGAATTTCATATTTGGACATTGCACAGCTCCCACACCCACCCCCCGTAATCATGGTAAAGTACCATCCAAAGTGTCAAGGTAAGTAAATTTTTATTCTGTGCTAGGTTGATTTCCTGTTATAGTGTTGTGAATATCCTTGTTCTGGCTTATAGTGTGCAAGGTTTCCGTATAATATTAATAAGTCACGTGATATCCTACATTTGCATATGAAAGTTGATGCTGTGCGAAAGATGCTATGTAGAATGCGTGAAGGACAAATGGGATGTGGCAGGAAGCAAATGAAAAATGTAATGAGAGAAATGTAAAATGTAGATACGTCAAAAAAAGCATTTTTCCACAAAACATTTGTTATTTAACATTTGACGTTTTACATTTAACTCTTGTCTTAGAGGTATTTTGACATTATCATTACGGGTATTAGGACTTTGTACATTGTACTTTTTACATATAATTAGTGGAAAAGACATTGTAGCAGAGAATTTAATATTGGCAGCGATACCCTTCCATAAAAATTAACCCTCCTTGCACGAAACTTAAGAAAAGATTATTTTAATATCAAAAGGAGTTCAGTGATGCCAAGAATGATGCAATAAATTGAAGGGCTGGGGTGGGGGCTGGAGTGATTTCACTAGCTTCAATGGAAATGGTTATTTCTATCATAGAACTGATACATTTTGTTGATAAAGGGGAAGTATAATTGTATTTTTGGTCTATTTGACTTGCAAATTTAGGTACATATTATCGTGTCTTTAAGGGATATAATTGACTATTAATTTTCAAATAAGATTAATACCATTTAGAATGTAATTAAAGTGATCATTTAAAATATCTTTGGCAGTGGCACCTGGCATTAAGAGTCTTGGTTTGCTCAATTCTTTTTCAGGCTGTAACCCGTTCAGAGAAATACATGTATAAATTTAAATGATATTTCTGGATTCATGTTGCCAAGATCCATTAATACAGGAAGTTACATCGTTTGAAGGACAACAGTGAAAGCCATCATAGCTGCACTATAGGACTTGATTATTCATGACTGTTAAAATATTAAATTCAGCCTCCTGTCAATTTAAGTTTATAGAGCCTAAAAAATTCAATTCAATCCATAAATGGATTTGTAAAAATAACATTGCCAGTAAACTGTGAGATTGTGAGAAGATGTTAATTATCTTAAATTGATGTATGTAGTATATATTTCTTTATTATAATTTATTAATTTAGTTTTCAAGTATGAATTAGGTGTATATGAGAATGTATTAAACATGTACAAATGTAGAATATACAATGAACAGGGTTTTTAATTTATGGAAGAATAATTGGCTCTTTATTTCCTGTTCGTATCAGGTATAATAACAACTTGAAAGATTGAGCTGATTTGTCTTCCATAATATTTTAAGTGCTGATACTTTTATAACAGTATTACCACTACTATGTTAGTTAATAAGTCTTTGGGGTAGTTTTATTACAACGTCAACAGCTATTGTAACCATAATATTGATTATGTTTGGATTTAATATGAAATTGATAATAATCATAAAAATTGTATTAGCATGCCTCATTACTTTATGTATGATTTTTTTTATAATTCTTTAGTAATGGTAATGGT